CGCGCGTGTTTGTTGTGTGTGTGTGTGTGTGTGTGTGTGTGTGTGTGTGTGTAAAAAAAAAATATTCGTACGCGTTCAAAATTGCATAATCCTACCTCGGTTTTGAATGATCTCTAGATGAACGATATTCCTCTCCATCCGTGCGATGCACACACATTTTAATTAGCAATCTTCCCGTGGTGCAAATAACTGAGCAAAAATGCATAGGTAACTTTACCACACTGTAACTCCGCAAAAAATCGTACAAACGGTTTTTTTTAATTTGCAGGGAAAAAAATTCACCATTTTACCATAGCTATCATGATGATTACCATAATATTTGCGAACAAAATTCATTCGATCCCGTAAAATATATTGAATTTGCAATTTTTTTTTAGGAACGTAACACATTCTTATTTTAGGAAAGATATTAGGAAGAGGAGAGGATAAATTCAAGCGATGACAAATACTTCTTAAAGTACATGTATTACTCTTAAGAATGCAAAAAAAGATTTTCAAATACAATAATTTTTCGTTGATTTATGATTTATTTAAAATTATGCAAAATTTTAATATAAATTTAGATATGCAATTTTGTTGTAATGTATATATATATATATCTCTTTTGAAATTAATAATAAATATTCTTTGTCATAGTATTAATAGCGAATGCTAATTTACTAAAATGTGCGGTAATTGTAGTTAAATTTATATATTTACGACGCAACGATGTTTATAAATGTAAAATAAAAGTTAAATAAAATTTTTCATACAAAAATTTTGTGTACACAATTCAATTTTTACTGATATTAACACATTGATCGCCATCCATCTATTACACTTATCTGGACGACGGATAAGAAGGTCCGTCATCCAAATATGGATAATGGCACGATGACCTCGCGACGAAACCATGAATTTAATTCCCGCGGGAAACATGCTCGATTTATATTGGGCGATTAACGTGTTAATTAAGAAAAAAGAAAAGAATTAAAGTGCAAGTTGCTCTTACATCGTTCCCGTGAAACCGAGCACTCGCGACACTTCTCAAACATCACGGCTTCATGCACATGATTCCATTTGTACTGCTTTCTCCTCAGGGGTTGCGAGTCCCTAGCATTCTTGGATGGACAGGCCGTAAGAAAGCGAATCCGCGTGCGAAAACCCGGAAGAAGCCAAGTTTTGCTACACTATTTACACGGGACTATATACAATTATTCTCCATACGTCTCGGTCAAGATTAGTCAGCCGACGACACAGCGGAAATCCTTTCGGTCTTCGTTGTCATTTGTAACGACATTATTCATCGTTACATTAATAGTTTCCCGTTTCTCGAAGTAGTAGTTTCTCCACGTCCAGGTTGGCCAAGTTTAATTCTGCTACTAGAGCGACACTGTCGATTATGTCCCACTGCCAGAAGAAAATGTTTAACCTTTTCTAGTTGATAAAATTCTTCCAGATGAATCGTCTTGAATGGTGATGATGTTGGATTAAGAATATCTTCTATAATAATTCTTTTAATAGATCGTACTCGAAGATTATCTCCATTTCAAATGTCAATGATTTCTCCTTCTTTCTTACTTTCTTCTTCTTTCTTCCTTTGTTTCTTCCTTACTTCTTCAAATTCTGTTTTGTTAAATCATATCGTCATTCTCAATTCGCCTTAGAACTCTTCAAGGAGGCTAGAACTCTTCTATATAAAAGAGTTAAGAATATTCCAAGAAGATTCCATGATTGATGACTTTTGTTAAATTCGTGATCGTAATCATGAGGAAATGGTCATTGTTGGAAAATTTGGCAGAATCCAGGAATTTATTTTATTTGTTAATTGTTTAAAGAATTTAAAGAGATAAACTTTTTTCCTCAATAACTTCATCATACGTAACATTTCAACTCCTGTCTCGTCGATCAGCGGTCATCACGATCTAAAGAGACATACAGCAATTATCCTTTTCGAGATGCATCAGAATCGCATCCCACCCTCGTTGAAATCGTGACTGATAATACCTGAAGAGTACAGGTATTCTTGTCGGATATTGCTGTTTCCTTCCCTCAAACCCGCGCGATAGGCATCACAGCAATTGCTCCTCCAAAATGGATCAGAGCTACGCTCTATCGGGTCATAAGATGACTAACGGCCTCCGGAAAGATTCATTTCCCGGTGCTGGTGCCATTTGATATCCGCCGTATTGACCCATTTGTGGACCCAACAGGCCTCCAGCTTGAACGGACCCAGGGTAATATGCTGGCAGAGTTGCCCCGGGACTTGCAGCCGATGACGTTGATGTTGAACTTGCACTAGATGAACCTTGCTCTGTTCTCTCATGCTGTTTGCTTGTGTCCGGTGACTCCGCGGGTGGTGACCTTGCGGGTCCACTTCCGCCGATGACGCTAGCCGGACTGGATTCTTCGTACAGCTTGTTAGGCTCGTAGCTGGGCCGATTGTATTCTGTAATAGTTGGTTTTTCCATATAGATCTTTGATTGCTCGAAATACGCTTTCGCAGAATCCAAATAGCTGCGGTCCAAGTAGGCCTTAGGATTGGACGAGTCCAGGTACTTAGGATCCGGATACATGCTCATCGCTAGAGTGCTTGGCGGCATATAAGCAGCGCGGTATTTATCAGCCTCCATTGAGTACTTCATGGCGTCCATCGAGCCCACTACCTGAAACAAGAAACGAAAAAAACGTCTAACGATGCGAATAATATTGTTATCCTTAGATTTTTATATCCCATCGCATTATATTAATTTCAACAATAAATCTAATTAATGCATCTCGATTAGTCTAGAAATATTCTTCATAACCGATGCGTTGGACATCGAATCGCTTTAATAAAGTTTTAATAAAATTGTTGAAGTTCTTTTTCTCATTAATTTTCGTCAATTTTTTGCCAGGTCTTGGTATTCGACTTTTGGAAAAAAACGGACACCAAAAGTGCGAAGAATCGCACGTACGAATAAAAAAAAAGTAGGCGACAAATTTGAGAGTCGACGCATTCGATTCGGTCGGCGCGCGCAAATCGCGAAATTGGTGGATCCACGATGCGACCCGGAGATTTGTTCTACGTCGAAGACAACACTGCCAATGGCCATAAATTTCGTCACGTTGGACCGAGCACGTTTGGGCTGCCGCAAGCTGAAGAGGGAGACCGGGCCGAGAGACCGGTGCTTAAAAAGAAAAGAAAAGAGAAAGAAATACAAGAAAGAAAAGAAGAGGTGGGAAGCACACATATTCCCGATTCTATAATTCGTGGACGGAGGAAGGACCGTGCGGGATCCTTTGTCGGATCGTTAAGCGGCTTTGTCCGGATGATTTACATCCAGTCTTAGTAATGCTAAGTCTCTCCCGCCCGCTACGACCAATTGATTACAGCTCAGCTTCTTTCACCTCGAAAACCCCCTCGCTACGATCCGCGAATCGCGCAACGGCGCGGCGTCTAGAAATTAAAAAATTCCTTCTCGCTGCACGGCGTTGAGATATTTACATTGAAAGTCCATCCAATCGCAACGATTCTGATTATTACGACGTATATACATGGATTTCATTAACTAGACGTTAGAATTAGCCATTTAATAGTCATTTGCTAGATTAAAATATGAGATAATTAAGTCGACAACAATTTTTCGAAATTTGCAAAAATTGTCTATCTTGTTTCGATTTGTTGAAAAGCTGCCAAACTAAGATTATAGAAAAACACAAAAGAATGTTTATAGAATAATACGAATATTTTGTTCTAATAATAACAGAATATTTCATTTACTGAGCTCAAATATCAATTTTAATAATTTTAATAAATCTAAATCAATTTACTATACCATTTAGTATACCATTTTTTTTTATTAATAGTTTTCTTAACATATTTTTATAAATTTTATTTGACTTCTTTCAGCAGAGAAAGCAGCTTTGCAACTATTGTAAAAAAGAAATCTTTGATAGGGTTGATTTTTATCTTCAGTTCCTCATGGATCTAATTAAAGAATCTTATAATCAAATCTTGAAGTAAGGTGAAAATTATAAAAGTGAGGAAATTTACTAGCTTTCGACATATGAAGTTGCAGATACTCTAGTGAATTTCCTCACTTTTGTAATTTCCACTTTGTTTGAAGATACACAATCGATTTCCTGAATTTGACTGCGCGTTCACAAACTCAATAAAAAAAAAGTGTCACAATCTCAGTGCTCACGACTGTACAATTGCCTTAAAAATTCCGTTTTTTCATTGCTATGTGAATCTAATTTTACTATGTCTAGAGTATGTTTTGGTTATTTTGATTATGATGATGAGTGAAGGCGAAAATTGGCAATTTAAAGCAAAATGGGATAATTGGCTTTGTCAGTTGTTGTCTTATTCTAGATCTATTATAGAACAGCCATTGCCAGTGAATACAGCGACATTTCTACACTGCAGAAATGTCCAAAATATATCGTAGAAATATCTTAAAGATATCATGATATTTTTATCACGTTTATCTCTGTATGAAATCTTATTGGGTAAGTTAGAGTAAAATAGAATGAAATATAAAATAAGAAAAGCAATTGAAAAATAAATTAACCTGCTCTCACTCTGTTTTAAACCGTCAACTTTTGACTTTAATTTATAATCATAGAATATGTTTGATCGATATATACAGAGTGTTCAATAATAATCGTATTATCTTCTTGTAAGCAGGTAGAACGAGTTATACTGAATAGAAAAGTTTTATCATTTTTGCAATAATAAATTGTTAATTTATACAGATTCGTGAAAGAGCGACTATTCGTTCGAATACACAGCCCAACACGTACATCGTATGATTGCTAGACGTGCAGCAAGATGTTTGGACGTGTGCACGATAAATGGATACTTTATCATTTGTAGATCACACCTTCCTAATATCTTGACCTTCCTTTATGTCTTCCCTGTCGATAATCAATTTAATGATATCGATTAAAAATTACTTGTAAAATGTATTGTGAAAAATATCATATCAGTCAAGATCTGACTCTGGAATTCTCTTCCGGAACGTTTCTCCTACCTTGATCACTAAAGCATAATCTTTCTCGTAATCTTTCTCGTAATAACTGGACAAATATAAAAGGTATAATGAAAGGACATTATTTCAATCGACGTATATAACAAATATATAATTTACAGATACATTTACAGATTTATAAAACGTTTTAATGTTAAAAATATATAACATAGACATTTTTGGTTAAGATTGGATTTTGGCTCAATAATTCAATAATTTATTTTAATAATAATTTAATGTTACATTAATTGATACATACATGTCTTATAATAGATTTGTCGCGTTATATTTCTTGCAGTTAAATTTCTTTTTCTCCAATATTCGCACATACACGTGTAGATCTGATACCCTATTTCATTTGTCATATAAGATTTTCAAAAGTAATTGGCTATCGAGTCCAAAGTCTTCTTGGGACTTTAGAAATTCTCTATCCGATAGCCAATATGTCCAAAAATGTTGTCATCTGAAGACCTCTTTTATCCATCTTTGATTAAATTAATCGATCGATTATTCTATTGGAATTGACTAATCGTAATTTATCCATTAAATTTAATGACAAATACGATTGATCAATTTCAATAGAATAATCAGCCGATTAAGTTAATCGAAAATGATGAAAAAGACCCTAGGCCTCGTGTTCACGATATTAGAAATCGATCGAGATCTCGAACGGAAAAAGATTGACTAATCATATTGCTCAATTGGCTGAAATAGTCATTACAATTGGTCAATTTTTCCTCTGTCCAAAATCGGATCGATTTCTATCACCATAGACAAAGTTAAAGTTTAATACATGGAATCGCAGTCTAAGACTAATATTTCATTTGTCATATGATAAATTTTTTTTAACATGCTGATTGGTTACAAGATGGGGAATTTCTAAAGATTTAAAAATTCTATTATTGTATAATCAATCACCACATTTAAAAAATTTATCGCGCGACAAATGAAAGTCTATCTAGTTTTAGAGCCGATATTTGATGGAAAGGAGAGATCATCAATTGTAATTGGTCAATTTTTTTACGGATTTACAGCTACGCACGTGGGCGGAAACTAAATTAAACTAAAAATCTATTATATAAAAATTACAAAAGTGACAAAAGTGAATTCAGAATATCTATGATTTTGATTGCGTTCCGATTTACATTTCCAGCGCTCGTGAATATCATTTGTCCTTCAATATTTAATAAACAATAAAAATGAAATAATTCTATGAACATTATAAACGTAAATCGGAACATAATCGATATATGTCAAAATTTAATAAAAATTGTTATAATTTTGACTTCGTTTTAAGATACAATCGACCGGAAGATATATTGGCTCTCATAACGCTTGTTAATATTATTTCCTCCTTGTTTAACATTTGATGAATCATCAAAGATGAAGTAATTCTAAGAACTGTGCGAGTGTTAAATGTATTTTAAGAATATTATTACATTTATCGTACGATAAATTTTTTAAGTGTATTGATTGGCTGCAGGATAGAGCAATTCTCCAGTCGTTAGAAACTTTCTATCCTGCAGCCAATCAACATGCTTAAAAAAATTTGTCGTGCGACAAATGTAATAGTACCCTAAGCCTATATTAAAATATCAGTAACGTTTTCCTTAGAGTAAAAATGTGAAAAATTAAAATTTTTTTCACTATCCTCAATAGTAAAATTTTTATTTTAAAAAATTTTAAAAAATTTTTATTTTTCATTTATTTACGCCCTAATCAAAAAGTTGATATGATACTACAGATGATAGTAGTATTTCTGTACTTTACTAGACTGTTAACTGTTTAATGTATAAGGCTTGACTTTGTATGTAATGAACAATTATATAGGCGAGTATTCATAATCGATTCTTATTTTAAGGTTGTTTTAGATCGATCTTCATAGTTGAATCTTGTATTTGAGATAATTTTAAATATAAGATTCCACTATGAATATCGAATAGAATCATTCATTCTGGGCATGTAATTTGACACATATATGCTAAGTTCGTTTTGTACTTTTTCGTGCTATTATTGAAGTGTCGTTCTACCTTTATTTTTCATTGTATGTTGAAGGAGGATGCTTTCAGCACGAAAGTGCAAAACGAATTTAGGCACTGGTGTAAGTATGTGATAAGATCATTATAAATGATACATATCATATGTAAAAGAACGTGCTATAACTATATGTATTAACTGTATATATATGTATATATATATATATTTTATATTTTATTTTATATATATATATATATATATATATATATATAATAAATAAATTATTCTGTATATTATTTAT